GCCCTAACCCCCCCGGTCCCGGGCCCCACGGAGGGTGGGGGGGCGCTGCCCTAACCCCCCCCGGTCCCGGGCCCCACGGCGGGCGGGGGGCGCTGCTCTAACCCGCGGGCGCTGTTCACTCAGCAGAACAAAAGGAGCCTTGTGCGGCCGCGCCCTGGGCCAGCGAAACCCGCCTCACGTGACCGATACCGGCCGGGAGCGCGCGCGCTAGCAGCTCTCCCCCAGGGCCCGCTCTCATCCCCGCCCCGCCCCGCTGGGGGCAGCGCGCGCGCGGCACCGGGGTCATGACCCCTCCCGCAGGGAGCAGTGGGCGGGGCCGGGCGGGGGGATGCTCTGGCAGCGTGAGGGGCGGTGCCTGGGACAGCCCCGCCCCCAGGGAGTCCCGCTGGCTCCACCCCTACGTGAGGCGGCGTCGCGCGGCCGGTCACCTTGGTGACCGCCCCGCGCCGCCTCGCCCCAGGATGCTCCGCTGGTTCGGCCGCCCCCGGCTCTGCCTCCTCCGGGCCCCGCAGCCGCCGGCAGGGCCCCGGGTGCCGAACCGCGCCGTCGCCGGTTCCGCCAGCCACAGCGCGACCGGGGGCACTTCGGTGACGTAAGCGGTCCGCCCCGCCCACAATGCATTTCTCCCCCTCCCCCCGGACCGCCACGTGCCCGGCGGCCCGGCCTGCCCCGTAGCGTTCCCGTACGTCAAGTCCCCCAACAGGCACGGGGGCAGGGGAGTACCTGGGGGTCCCGGAGGGGGTATTTCGGGGGGTGCTGGAGGGGGGCCTGGGGGGGGCGGGGGGGGGGGTTTTTGGGGGGGGTGCTGGAGGGGGTATTTTGGGGGGTGCTGGAGGGAGGACCTGGGAGGTGCTGGAGGGGGTAGTTTGGGGGCTGCTGGAGGGGGTATTTCGGGGGTTGCCTGAGGGGGACCTGTGGCCTCACTCTCCAGGTGCTGAGCAGCGTGCTGCTCCCTGTCATGGTGGCAGGGCTACTGGGCAGGCCAGGGATGCGGCACCAGCCTGTCAGTGAGCACCTCCCTGTGAGTCTCTTTCTTCCTCTGCTGGGTGGGGAGCCAGGGCCTGGCGCTGTCACCCTCCCAGCCGGGCTCTGAGGTCATGGAGGGGCGGGCAGGCAGGCAGCCCAGCTGAGAGGCACTTGGTGGCGCCGTTTACCTGGCGGTCTGGGCCGGGGCAGGCACGATCCGGCAGCTGCGGTGCGGGGGAGGGACCAATCGGCGCATGGAGACGACTCTTTCTGAGCTGCAACTGATCCACAAGGAAAAATCCCAGATACTACTACTTATTTGAAAAATGTGCCCAGACTGAGAGCAGACTACCAAAAAAGAGGTCATGTCTGGGAAAACCCGGACATGTGGTAATCCTATGTCCCTGGTCCAGCCTGCCCAGCTGTGTCCTGCCCCCCGCCCGTGTCCTGCTCCTGGCCTATGTCCTGCCTCCAGTCCAGCAGTGTCCTGTCCTTGCCCATGTCCTGCCCCCAGCGCAGTTCAGTGCTCATGTTTTGCAGGCCACTGCCCCTCTCCTACGTAGTGTTCGACGGGCCTGCGCCACAGCCCCCACTCGTCTTCTTGCATGGCCTGCTGGGCAGCAAGGGCAACTTCCGCGCCATCGCCCGGGCCCTGGTGCAGCGGAGCGGCCGCAAGGTGAGCGCCAGGGGCAGGGCCGGGGGGCAGCCAAGGGCCTGAGTGCCGGGCCCACCCTGCCCAGCTTGCAGCAGCTTCTCTTCCTTGCCAGGTGCTGACAGTGGACGCGCGGAACCATGGCGAGAGCCCGCACAGCCCCACCATGAGCTACGAGGCCATGAGCCTGGACGTGCAGCGCCTCCTGCGCCGGCTGCACATCCCCAAGTGCGTCTTGGTTGGCCACAGCATGGGCGGCAAAACCGCCATGACACTGGCGCTGCAGCGGGTACGTGCATGTGCGGCTGCCAGGGAACAGCCAGCAGGATGCAGAGTTTGGGGCAATTGCTGCTGTTTGCCCATCCCGCACCACATGGGTTCCTCTGCCATAGGGCCTGACAAGGAGCACAAACGCCCTTCCCTGGGGGTGCAGGAGGGCACACTGGGGGTGTCATAGTCGCTGTTCTGTGAGGAATAAGCCCAGCCTGTGCTGTCTCGGCACAGAGCGAAGGCAAGGTGGAGTTTGTTCCTTTCTCTGGGCCCTGGCACTGGCCTGGCCTATGCACTCAGCTCACAGTCAGCACAGCGCAATGGGACAGGCTCCCTCTGTATGACTGCCCCAGAGTGCTACTCGCATGGAGCTAATGGATCCTGCCTTAAGGAGGGATCCATTTAGGGGGAGCTGGGATCTTCTCACACCTCAACTGAGTGGGAACCATCTGACCACTTCTCATGGCAGAGCCCAGGTAGCACACGGCACCACAGGAAATGGACTGGCAGTTCGGTACCAGGGGCTCTTCTCTCTGCATCTTCATAGAAGCAACCTCCCAGCATAGTCCTAGGGCTGCTGTGCACCTACAGCTGCTCTCTCTCCGATGAGGACTTCATTGCCTGTGGGCTTAAAGAGTCCCTCACATTTTCCAACACCCACTGTCATAAGTCAGGTTGCTGGGTTCTGTCTCCTGTGACTCCCTGCCATTTCATCCGGGGAATTAATCTGCAGTCTCACAGTCAGAGTTACTGTGTCATGTCCCACCCCAGAGGTGGCTGCATTTCAGGGCTAGCTGACAGCTCCCTGCCATGGAAACAAAAACTGGATATGAACGCCCTGTTTTGCCTTCGCTGTCCGCTCTATTGTGTGCTCTGGGATCTTCGCTGGGGAGTGGCAGGCAGGTCGGGGCTGGAAGGCCCTTGGGTAGAAGCTCCTCCCCAGAGCTAGCCTTTCTTGGGGATGCATCTTTTTGGGGGGCTTCTGACCATTCCTCGGGATCCTTGTGGCCCTGAGCAGGGTTCCTGCTGGAGTGAGATCCCTGCACTCGCTTGTGTCCCCAGCCAGATCTCGTGGAGCGCCTGGTGTCTGTAGACATTAGTCCCACAGAGAGCGTGGCTGTGACAGATTTCCCGGCCTACATCTCTGCCATGAGGAGAGTGAGCATCCCAAATGGAATCCCCCGCTCCACAGCACGCCGGCTGGCAGAGGATCAGCTGCGTCCAGCCATCCAGGTACGGTAGCCCACGAGGAGCCCTCCCCTCTCCCAGAGTGGGAGCACACTGCCCCAGAGCCGCCAGCCCCAGCCGGCGCTTTTCCATCCCCATGCCCTTAGTCCTAGCCCTGATGCCTGTCTGACCCTCAGCAGGGCCCACACTGGGGCTTGGCACTGTGGCCAGCGCATCTGTCGTGGTGGTGGGGGGAGGGGGTACTGCTGTGCTGGAGCAGACACATGGCACCTGGCTTGCCAGGTCTGCTGCTGCGGGTGTGTGATGGAGTGTCCCGGGGCATCCCTGGCTGGCATGTATGTGTGCGCTGTGACAAATGGATATGCTTTACCCTTGCTGCAGGTGTCGGCGGTAAGGCAGTTCCTGCTC